TTTTCCTATGCTTAAATATGTATGATAAAGTTTAGTTTACAAATTAGGCACCGTAAGATTAATGATAACTAATAATAAAATAGAACAAATATAACAATATAGTGTAATAAGAATTACTGTAGATCTTAGCAATCTTAGCATATGACTTTTTTTCTTTCCTTATTAAGTTGATAACTCTCACCTTTTCACTTAAAGGAAGCACTTCACAGCTTCTCTTTGGCATATCTGAATTGCCAGCATTACTACTCTTGCTCTTTGGGGCCATTATTAAATAAAATAAGGGTTATGTGAACACAAACACTGCATTACCAGGACAATAGATCTGCTAACCCAGACAGCTACCGAATCACTAACCAGAGGGTAGTGTACACAGTGTGGATATGCTGGACAAGAGGATGAATCCTGTCCCAGGCAGGACAGAGCAGGACAGCGTGAGATTTCATCACGCTACTCAGAACAGTGTGGAATTTAAAACTTATAAATTGTTTATTTCTGCAATTTTCCAGTTAATATTTTCAGACTGAGGCTGACGGCAGGTAACTGAAACCACGGATAAGGAGGGGACTACTGTATGGTACTTGCTGATTTTCTGGCTTTTGTTGTTGTAAAATTGGGAACAACTATGTTTCCAGCTCTCTACATCACCGAGCAGGAACTGTAAATCAATGGAATGAATTTTAAGTAAAAAGTAGAGGGAGGGGCCGGCCCTATGCTGAGTTCCCTAACTCGCCTTCGGTGGCCCAGGGTTTCACTGGTGGATCTTATGCGAGGACATGGCACCACTCATCAGGCCATGCTGAGGTGGCATCCCTCATAGCACAACCAAAAGGACCTACAACTAGAATATACAACTATGTACTGGGGGGCTTTGGGGAGAAGAAGAAGAAGAAAAAAAAGAAGATTGGCAACAGATGTTAGCTCAGGTGCCAATCTTTAAAAAAAAAAAGTAGAGGGGATGAAATGATTCAGAGGTCTAGAGCTGACAATATGAAATGAAGAAAGAGTCTCAGGCCACCTGGATATTGAAAGGTGTATAGAGAAACTAAGATTGTCAGGAAGTCCTAGAGCGTGAAGGCAAAGTTCTCTATCGTGTCTCCATTTTCAACACCCCACGAGATTCCTTTTCTAACATTCTCTAAATTGCTTACCTTTCTTAAGCTTCCTTGAATATTTCAAAGCTGAATTTCTCATAAGTTTCCAAAGAACGTGTTGGAAATCGTGACATCATTATCTTTGGGCAATAAAAGGACAAAAAGGGAAAGAATTATCTGCCATGGGGGTGAAAGAGAAATACAAGATTACCCATGACCTCTCAAATCTCAGAGAATGTACCTGGGCATTCCAAGAGTAGGAGAATAATTGGACCTCATGTTATTTCCATTAAGATATTCAATGATATCTCCAGAATATTTTGGCTACATCATTGAAGAAAATGATTACCTCTTGTTCTGTGGAAAGCCTGTAGACAAGGTCAATGCCATCGTGTTTTATAAAAGCATCAGATAAAAGCTCCCTCATAATAAAACCACAGAAGTATTTTAAGGTTTATTTAAGCAACTTTATAGAGAAAGCAGCTATAAAGCCTCTTTCACCCTAACCTACCAACTATTTAATTAACTCTATAACCTCTTCAGGTCCTACAATTTTTATAGTTTAGTAATTGGTCCATATTATCTTATTTTACTTTTTATTGATTATTTCATATTTTGTTTGTCTTAGTATTAATAAAATATGTATTATCAATTTAGTGACAGCAAAATATTCCATCTCATTAATGAGTCTCGGGATTTTGAGAAGAAAGTTGAAAAATACCTAAAAGGTAAATCTAGAAGATATTCACTATAGAGATGACGAAACTGAGGCCCAGAAAAGCAGGGTATAGCAGACTATGTCAGGTTCTGTTCTGATGACCTATTACTGCATGGTAAATGATTTTTATTACGTCTCATGGTTCTGTGGGTTGACTGGGCTCAGCTGGATGATTCTTGCTTCAAGTCTGTATCAGTCGGGGTTCTCCAGAGAAATAGAAGTACATATAAACGTAAATACATTACATATATATATATATATATATTCTTTCTTTCTTTTTAAAAAAAATTGGTTGGAACCTTTGGCAAGAGTTGATACAGCAACCTTGAGGCAGAATTTCTTCTTCTTCATTAAACCTCAGGTTTTTCTCTTAAAGGCCTTCATGATGGATGAGGCCCACCCACATTATTGAGGATAATCCCCTTACTTCAAGTTAACTGATTTTAGATGTCAACTACATCTACAAAATACCTTCATAGCAACATCTAGATTAGCATTCTACTAAATAACTGAGTACCATAACCTAGCCAAGCTGACACGTAAAACTCACCATCCTAGGGCCTCTTATACTGTTATAGTCACATGTCTTCTGAAGGCTCAATTAGGCTGGATGTCCAAGATGATTCACTTCCACGGCTAGTGGTTGATTCTGGCCGGCAGCTAGGACTTCAGCTGGGGCTGTTGACCAGCATGCCAGTCTGATCTCTCTCCACTGGTTGGCAATTCTCTCAGCATGGTGGCTGCATTCTGAGAGGGAGTGTCCTAGGAGCTAGCATTCCAAGAAACAGGAAATGGAGGCTCCTAGGCCAGTTAAGGCCTATGCCTGGAGCTGGTACAGTGTCACTCCCACTGTGTTCTATTAGTTAAAGCAGTCATGGCTCACTCAGATTCAAGAGGGTGGAGAAATAGATTTCACCTCTTGATTGGAAAGTGGCAAGGCCACATTGTAGAACATACGGGCTGGGAGATTTAGTTGTGGACATTTTTTGAAAATATAATGGCTCTTGCTATTTCCATGCACACTGGCCAACCATCCAACAGCCAGCACCTGCAACTCTTTGCCTCAGGGCTTTCACTGGTGGCCAGAGTCTGCCACCTCTCATGGGGCAGGTCTCCAGCAATGGGAGATTAGCAGCCAACCAATGACTGACAAGAGTTGGGTACTACAATTCCCTTGCCTCCTAGAGCTCCTCCAGCAGGATTAAGCTCCATTTGCAAACAATGGTAACTTGCCTGATCATACACTGTTTACTGCTGTCTGCCTTTCCTTGTTTGTCTCCCCTGCTCCCTCTACTATATTGCTTCTTGAGAGCACCTGCTGAAAAATTTACTTGCCCTCAAATCTTTGTTTCAATGTCAGTTTCTGGGAGAACCCAACTCAAGTTATAGAGTAACTTGTCCACAGTCAGAGCTAAAACTAGGGGCTGAGCTGAGCCCCAGTCAAGAGTACTTTCCATATTTGTTACACTCTGAAAGAGGTTCAGAATATTCCAGTGCCTAACTATCAAGTGATGGAGGGAGGGCTTAAAAAAGAGAAAAATTTGAAGTGTGTATGTTAGCTATCTTAAACATGTTTAGAAAGAGCACTGGACTAGGAGTCAGGAGATGTGGGTTCTCACTTTTGCTCCATCATGAACAAGTTGTGTAACTTCCCCAAGCAGAGCCGGAGAGGTTAAAACCTCCTCCTGAAATCAGACCTCTGGTATTTCCATGGGAGCCGAATGGATGAGGTCTGCAAAAGCAGTATCATGATGAAAAAGAGGTAAATGAATGGAAGGAATTAATTTTTCTCATTTTGGTGGCTCCATTCAACAAGACATGGTGTTTTTACTTTTTTCCATAAGCTTCTCATGTAGTCTTGATTGTCATTCTACGTTCCAGAAGTAGACAATTGCCCAGTTCACCAATCTATGCTCTCTGGATAGAGCAGATTATGTTGAAAGTGTCCAGTTATTTATTTACTTATTTTTTGCTGAGGAAGATTTGCTCTGAGCTAACATCTGTGCCAGTCTTCCTCCATTTCGTATGTGGGTTGTGGCTACAGCACGGCTGACAAGTGGTGTAAGTCTGCATCTGGGACCTGAAACCACGAATCCGGGCCACTGAAGCAGAGCCCGCCAAACTTAACCATTATGCCACAGGGCTAGCCCCTGAAAGTGTCGGGTTTTAAAACAAAGTCTTCAGATAGGCCTTTTAGCAGACAGTTGCCAGTGGCCACTTTAAGTAGAAAGAACTCCTGGGACAGAAATTTCTCTCACTCTGGTCAACAAATGTCCCTGTCATTGTAGAACATACTTAGGCCTGAACTGTCTGGATAAAGATAGTCAAGATACTTTTTTTCCATTGGTTTATTTTAAAAAATGTTCAGGGATCTGCCGGCAGGGTGACCTAGTGGTTAAGTCTGTGCTTTCCGCTTGGGCGGCCAGGGTTCGCAAGTGCAGATGCCAGGGTGGACCCACACACTGTTCATCAAGCCACGCTGTGGCGGCATCCCATAGATAAAATAGAGGAAGACTGGCACAGATGTTAGCTCAGGGACAAACTTCCTCATTGAAAAAAAAAAGTTCATACCATAGTATGGTTTTTTTTTTTCCTTCACTAGCTTCTTCAGGGTTTATGAATTTCACCTAGCAGTGCGTGTGTGTGTTGAGTTTTTGATACCTATCTCTTTGTGTGTTAGTGAGTAGGATAGAAAAATGCAGACAACAGATTAATAAGGGAGAAAATATCTCAAGAATAGTCTTGGACACATTGAATAATATCGACCATATCCTGTGATAAAACAACCATGGGGTCAAGATTTATGTACTTATTTGCTTGCCAAATTGATCACACTTTCTGGTCAAAAAGGTAAAACGCAATTTAGCTGCTAAGGATTGTGAACATGCCTTGGGTTGACATTTGTTTTTATGTTGTATTTTTAAAAGGCAAATAATCTAATTTGATCTACGATTTGCTTAGAAAACTTTGCTTGCCAACTTAACTCAATTCACAGCCATTTCCTACAGAAACAGGAACTGGCGTTCTCTTGCTGCACACTAGCCTTGGCTTATGCTAAAGCAGGAAAGGTCTTAATTTGGGAATTACATTTCTTTCAGATACTAATTTCAAACTGGATCTTAAAAAAAATACTGTTGGTTGACAGATTCCTATCTCCACCCATCCCCCCCCCCCCCCCAGGGGAGGTGTTCTTGCATTTGTTGGTTGTTCTGCCAGCGGGTTAGATACTGAACGCTGAGAGCTAATTACCCTCCTTGTGCCACTAAGACAACTTTCTATGAGCACTTCACTTGCTTCTTCTATTGTGTGGAATCAAATCATATGAACTTTCATTTAATTGGTTTATTCATTTTAAAAAGCCATCTAATAGAAATAGGAAAAGGAAAAAAAATAGGAGAAAATAACACCAGTTTCTAAAGACTTTAAAGTGAAGCATGTGGATTATTTTTAAAAAGAAAACCTCAAATTAAGGATTTAATTGAAAAAGTCATTTATTTTCCTTTATTCGTATCTACAGTATGCAAAAGGCAAGAGAGCCTCTCCGAGTTGGGGGAAAAGTTGTCCTTTGAAATGACTTCAGTGATATGATTTCATCTGTATTTCAAACGCATTAATTTCACACCATCCACAATAGGTAATGAAGATGCATAGATTTGGGTTAAATTCACCCTCCGGAAAACCTGCAAATTAAGATGCTGTTGATGGATACGCCGCCGACTGTCTTAATCATCGTGATCAAAATCCAAATAGTAGGGAAAGGGTTCCCGGAGGGATGCGTTTGGGCTTTTGACAAACGCTCGACCAAACTCAGAAGCCTAGTCTGCACCTTAGCAAATCCTTTTTCCAGGCAAGAGGCCCGATCAGCCCGCGCGGGGCTCGCGTGTTTCAAGAGTGGTTCGACACCTCCCTCATCCCCCAAACCAGACACACCCCGATCCCGCGAACCGGTCTGGGCTGTCAAAACACGCGGCAGCGTGCTCACTCCCAATAACTCGCATGATGATTAATGAGCGGCCTGATAATTTAATATCGCGTGAGATTAAATTATAAGGCGTGGGGGAGGGGAGCTCTGCGGGCCGACGGCGCCGAGCCAGCGGGTCTGGGCTGCCGGCGAAGCCGCGCGCCTTCACACAGCGCCGGGCGAGGCTCCGCCAGCCGCGGGTCCGCGCCTTCCCAAGGTCAGTGGGTCCCGGAAAGGGAGGGCGGCGGGGGTGGGGGTGGGGGAAAGGGCGGCTTGCAGAGCCAAGGGGAGAGGTATGGGCGCGGGACAGCTCGGGTCTGAGCCGAGGAGCTGGGCGATGCCGGCTCTTTCCCCCCGCCGCAAAGGCTCGGAGAGCCGGGGAAATGGCCCCAGGCGAGGGACGATCTCTCCCTTAAACCCCCTCTCTGTCCGCCACAGGGACCCCGAGACTCCTGGCCCCGCTGGGTCTCCTCCCGGCCCCCAATCCCTCGCGCCGGGACTTTGAGAGGGTTTCCCTGCAGGCGGGGATGTGGCGGCCAGGTCGAGCTACCCAAAGCCCCCCTTCTCTTCCCCAGCCCGCGGACCCCAGCCCGGTGCCGTGCCGGGCAGGGTCCGGGGTGCAGGCACGTCGGGCGGGGAGAAAGGGAATATAAAGCCGCGCAGGAGCCTAAAGCCTCAGGAAGGCGGAGAGAGGCTAACGAAACGCTAGGCGCAGCCTCCGGGGTTCCCAGCTTGACCGATTGGGGAGGAGGCGCGGGGAGCCAGTGTAAGCCCCTTCGAGATTACTAGAGGGACTCCTTGCTGCCACTCTCTTCTTCTTAAGGGGTCGAGGACAGGTTCTGGCGTGTCCACCCCTTCCTCTGGGAGAGGTGAGACCCCGGGTTTGGAGGCTGCGCCCCGCATTGGCCCTCATGGGTAAGGGGCGGCTGCCCTCATGCTGTCCCCGCCGCCACGGCGCAGTTCTGTCCCGAAGAGGCAGGTGGGTGCTTTCGCAGCAGCGCAGAGCGCTGGGTCTGCGCGGGAGGCGGCATTCTCGGAGGAGCCCCTGGGAGGCCACTCGCGGGCCAGAGGGAGGGTCGCCTCTTTCTTCGTGATCGCATCGAAGGGCTTAACTTTCAGCAGGGGTAGGGCAGGCCCTGGAGAGGCGGGCACGTCCCCGGAAGACCCTGGGAAACTGCAGACCGGGCTGTTTAGATGCTGAGCGGGAAGGAGAGAATGAAAGCGCCACACCCGGACTCCGGAGGTCCGGGCGTCCTGCGGTGCCCTGGCCTGGCAGGAGGGCGGCTGCTGGCTGAGTTTCAGCCTAGCAATGACATCCTGGAGGGGATGCCGCCGACTGAACCTAGACTACCCGCTTTCCTTCAGCTAGAGAGGCCCGAGAGAGCTCCAGAAATGGCGTGCCTGGGGTCCAGTGCCTTGGGCTACAGGTGCGGTGGCTGAACCTCCCTCTGAGAATGGGATGGAAGCTTCCTAGGCCGGGCTCCTCGGCTATGCGGGAATTACCGTTTCTTCCTCAGCTTCTCTAGATCTTTGGAAGAAGCACCAAGGAAGGGGGAAAGAGCATGAACAACCAAATGGACTTGTAAACAGAGGTCACAGTATGGAAATATATATATGTAATATATATTTAACCTCAAAACACCCAAAGAGAATATAAAAATGAACTTGCCTAGCTAGAGCAGAAACAAGCCACAAATTCTTTCTAGGAGGCACAGCCCGAAATGCTGCAAATTAGCAGAAGGTGTAGGCTGTGCCTACAATTCCAGGATATTTAGAACACACCAAATCCTCATTAAGAAAAAAGTTTGAAGGGGGGGGGTGGTGAAGGTGGAGGAAACGCCCAGAAGCTTTGTCTCCTCCTTTGCCCAGGTGGCCGAAGACCCTTCTGTCCAGGCCGGAAGGCTAGAGCAAGGAGGAGGCGGTTCCCCTCTAGGCGCCCGAGTAATAAGTAAAAAGGGTTTATGGGCAAGGCTGCTGCCTGCGACTGGTCTCCGCAACCGGCAATAATTCTGCAGAGAGGTAGCCCCAGATATCAACAGTGTGCTCGCCAGCGCCCGACCCTGGGGTACTGACAGCCCCGAGGCTAGACGCACAGGTCACGCACTGCCGCTTTTGTCCCTGTCCTTAAAATCACTCCTTAAGTTTGCTCCTCGTTCCTGCTTCTCCTAGACACAAGCTAAACCCCTCTATGTGGATTCCACCCAAAACAGTGGCTGGGCTCACGGAGGACAATTTAAAAGCTCAGGGCCAAGTTTTCCTCCAAAGGTGCCACATACCGCGTAAATAACAGGCGCCTCCTGGACACAATATCTTTCCCAGAAATTAAATTTTGGTTCCAGAAACCAGAATGGGAAGATCCTAGACAAAAGTGTGTCCTTGGACGGAAGGCCTCCACGTTCTCAATATTAACATGGATGGATAAGGGGCGTCAAGCTAGGTTTGATTTCCCAGATCATGGTCAATCTGTTGTCTTACTAAACGACGCCAGGATACAGTGAAGGTGACGGTAGTCTCCCATCTTTAACGATTCCCAAAGTTTCGAAAGAAGGAAGAGATTGTTTTATTCTCTCATGCACAAGATCACTCATGTCAAATGATATCGGACACCTGCAAAATGACGTCGAACTGGTGGCACTTTGGGTGGCATTGTTTATTCAACGTACCAGGACGCGAGCGGTGCTGTCTTTTCCTGCCTTCAGAGCGCGAGTTCGCGCGTTGATTTCAGCCCTCGCTCTCAGCCCCGCTGCCGCACACCATTTAGGCCAAGATCGGGCATAATGGGAAACACCATCAGCTGACAATTACCCTTTCAGAGGATTCACTTCTCCTCACAGACACTGTTATTTGAGAAATAGGATCATTTGATTTCATATTGCACTAAATAACACCCAGCCGTTTCAAATTGCCAGCTTCTTAAAAACCGCCCATTGGAATAAATTGCAGCAGCCTCTTGCTTTTCAGGGCAATATGCTGGGCACCGGGCAGAACTTGTAAAAATAACTACAAAGCCAGCCCTGAGCCGTCGCTATTGGTGGGAACAGCTCTGCCACCCTGCAGGCAAAGGCATTCAGCTACCCAGTTTCCTGCCACCGCCCCCTTCGCCCGCCAACTTAGAGATGATTCAACCACTGGGCTTTGGAATTAAAATGCACAGCCGTAGCCACCGAGAGAAAGCGCTTCGGGCTACGCGGCGCGTAATAGAGTCCAGCGGAGAAAGATCGGCGGTGTGCAGGCACAGATTTCCGTGCGTCCTGCCGCGCTGCCTGCAGGGCTTAAGCGTTTGGAGACTGCGGCGGGTCTGGGGCTCAGCGGCCGGCGAGTGCGCTCTCCAGCTTCGCGGGTCGTGGGTTCCCAGCTAGGAGCGAGCCATTGCCGCTGCGCCCTGCTTACCCGGGTGCTGTCCAGGCCTGCGGGCCGCGGCTCCCCTCTCTGACCTCAGCACCGGCGCAAAGCCCGGAGCCCTGGCTCGCTGAGTCCGACTGGGGACCAGAAAGAGGGGGGAGCCTCACTGTGGCTTCAGCGCAGAGTCCAGAGGGAGAGGGCGAAGGAAAAAGGAGAGGGGTGAACCTGCGTTCGCTGCACCCCCGCCGCCAGCGACATTTCAGAAAGAATTAAGCTTTTTGAAGTCGGCCACGAGCTATGGTTTGTTAATTGACACCCTGTTCAACTGGGCGACAATTGTTGAGCTCCATGAGGGTGATCCACCCTCCCCTCCACTTTGATGTAAAAGAAGATTTGACTTCTTGATGCTTGGTTCATTTGTGCCAAGGGGCAGGGTAATTTAAGACGAGCGGGGGCCTTGGCGAATCAGTCTGTCGAAGTCTTTATTACGTTTGTGTTAATGTACTTCACGAAGGCAGAATTAAATTCTCTTCCCCTGCTCCCCCCCCGATAAATTGAAGTCCGCCTCCCGGAGGCTCACCTGTGCGCTCGATTCGAAGCGTGAACTGGAAGGACTCTTTTAGTGGATCCTGAGAACCGGAGGGAGTTAGTCGGAGCCTTTGGGGACAGGGTGGGAGCCTTTCCCTTTCCCTGGCACTGGGAGGAGCCAGGGAGCAGAGGTTGTGGGAATGCGTCCAGAAGGAAGGTTACAGGCGCGTCGAGAGTGGGAAACTCAATTTCTCTCTCCAGGGTCGGCACAGACTTTAGCTCCGGAGCAGTGTCGGGATTGCGGGGAAGGCGTGGGCCTCTGCCCAGGGTGGGGTGATGGAGGCCTGAGTGTGCCCGCTCCCTCCACTTGGCCCTGCCCTGCGGACCCTGAGCCACGCTACCCCTTAGGGTTTCGCCCAGTCACTCCTCTCTGCAGCAAATAAAAGCTCCGTCCACGAGGCCCGAGTGTACCCAAACCAAACCCTGGGCCGTGTTGGGCCGCAGGCGTTTGGAGCTGCCCTCTGGGCCTGGGACGAGGCCAGGAAGCACAGCCTCCCAAGCCGCCAGCTCTGGCCCTGTGTATCCCGATCCAAGGCAGGGGCGGTGCTGCCCAGTCAAGCCCCGGCGGCTGCTCCATCCAGGTCCCTACGCTAAGGCCCTCTCGCCCTCACTCCTCGCGGCACTCTGCCCTGCCCACTGCGCGTCTCTGCAAGCCTCCTGCGCTCCCCGGGCCCCGCCGCCACGCCAGCGCGGTTAGGGCGCTCCCTACCAACTTCCCACCCCCTCCCCATGGGGGTGCAGCCAAGGAGCCCTTTTTTTGTCAAACGCCAAGCCCAAACACGACAACTTTTCAAGAAGGCAGGAACAGGGTGGTTAAATTCGGAGGAGTCGGAAAGCGCGTCTTCCCAGCTCCAATCTTCTCCGTCCGCGCGAATGAAGCGCTGAGCGGTGTATGGAACGGCCGTGCCGCCGGCACCGCGACTGACAGAGGGCCGGAGCCCTAGAGCCGGCAGAGGCTGCTGCCGCAGCGGGCCATGCCCGCAGGGGACTCCGGGGACAGTGTGAGCGGGCCTTTCCCTCCGCACGCGCCTCCCTCACTCTTTTTCGGACCAGAGCAGGGCAGCGCTTAAAGGCTGACCTCCAGCCCTGCGTGGGGGAGTCTTGCGACCGCCCTGTCCCGGCCTGGGAGCCCTGGGTGAGGGCAGTGTGAACCAGTTGTCGCGACTCCTGTGGGCTCCGGCCTCGGGCTCCGGCCGCGGCCAGCGGGTCATCCCCTTGGCTCACTATTCCCGCCCCCACCCGGGATCACGTCTAGGCAGTGCGGCCCCCGCGCTACCCTCCTCTCCC